CTAATAGTAGTTAACTCAGAAAATTTACTCGAAGGAAGCCTTTTGATGGTAACATGTACTGGAGCAACAGTTGGTCGAGAAGAGAAAAATGGTCTTTGTATTCCAGATTCTTCTGTTAGTAAGGTGAGATTTCTTTATATAATGTATGCATGGTTTAAAGAGCATATGACAAAGTAATTTATTATGTTATGATTGTTATAATCTAAGTGTAACATCATGCTAACCAAATGAGATGATTTTGTGAAGTGGAAATATTTTTATTTTAGTTTTTTAAGTGATAACTTACTTTTATTGTTCTTAATTTTTTTGTTATTTTTTTTGGTTTTCACCAAAGGTTATGTTTCCACTTTGAAAGTGATATCATTTACTTCCAGCACAATTACACAGTTTTCAGGTGGCAGTACTTGACTGAGGAATTGTTGGCTTTAATTCTTCAGGAGATTAATCATTATATGAGTTGACCTTCATTGGGCCTTGAGTTTGGGGGCCCACACATTTTGAATACAGTCCACCAACTTTGGACAGACAAGCTGTTATATTGTTATAGATTTCTGAATATTTTTTGATACTAATATTATCATTTGTAGTTATTTGGGTTCAGTAACATAAGTTTAGTTAGACTTGTAAATACTTATTGTAAGGTTAGGGTTTTAAATTGGAGCTTAGTGATATCCTTTGTACCACACATTAGATTAAGCCTAACAAGTGTCTTTGTTATTTTAGTTTTACTCTGTATTTCATCTTACTGGTAAATCGTAAATTAGGTTAAATATATTGTTTTCTTTAACGCATACCACTTAATAAATTTTTATGGTCAATACACACTGACTTAATTTCACATATAACAACTATTTCATTTTCGTAATTATTTATATTTTATACTTCTCACAACTAATTTAGTTTGTGAGGAAACCCCGAGGCCAAGGTCCACCCAACCTTCTTCCCCAATATTGCTTACCTTCAACCAAAAACTGCTGAACCCATTCAGTACAACATAGATTTTGACAATTTTCCTCTGCTTGGTTATGACTTGCCTTTCCTGGGAGTATGCTCAGCCCTTTTTAAGGCACGTTTCACAGTATTCCCCCCCTTTTCTTCTCCAGACATTATGGTTCATGCTGAGCCTTTTTGTCTCTCTTTTGAGAAAGGGTGCTTGCGTGCCTCACCATTCATGGGTTTTGGTTCATTTTGTCTTAGATTCCCATAAGGCAAACTTTTTGTTGTTTTTTCTTGATTTTCTGCACTTAGAATCTCTCTTGCCTGAGTGAGAGGCAGACCCTGATAACTCTACCCTTTTATCCCTCGCCGTATTTTCCAGCCTTCATTTTACCACATCAACTCTCCTACAAAAATTGTCCACCATACACTTTCTTTCTGAGGCATTCCACCTGTAACTTGCAGATTTTCATGGGATACCTTCCGCTCCTTGCTTTCATGTTAGGGTGATTGCCATCTTTGGCTCTTTCCCTACATATGTGGCTTCTTTGCTTTTGAAATCTTCTGGAATGGGACACTGTTTTGTACATTAAATTTTTTTTGGTTACTCATTTGCCATTGCAATTTTTATTTATGTTTCATGTCCAAAACCTTCCCATTATTTACCTGTCCTACCTCTAAGGGCTCCTCCATTAGTCGTGTATTCTTGATACAGATTGGAGTTCTATGATCAATATGTCCCACCTCAATCTCTTCTTGGTTTTACTGTGTTGTCTTTTAGCACACTCTTGTGAACAATTTATCCAGGATTAATAATGCCAAAAGTAGATGTTTCTTATTCTTCTACCTGCAGTCCTATTTTTCATCTTTAGTGATGCTATCTTAGCTTTGTTTAACATTGGGTTGGGTACCAGTTTTTCACCTTACTCTTCAAGCTTGTTTCAGATTCGTATGTTTTGTTGGGTGATCAGAGTTTTACCTGACTTCAGCATAATGGAGAATTGTACTTACACCACAACTTAGTCGTCTGGCTTCTGTTACCTCACTCTAAACTGGGATTGTCACATCATACTCATCAGATTCTTACACATGCAGCTCGAGTGATTGGATTTTCCAGTTGGAGAGGTCTTTCCTGTTACCTACCTAACAATCTTGTCTTTTGGGGATGGCTTTTTCAACTCTCAATTCCATCAGGTCCATCCTTCACCTTTTTGACTGCACTTGATGGAGTTGTCAATCATCCATGCCATTACTGTTAACTATCTTACTACTGGCAAGGTTCTATTGCATTGGGGGATGTGGCTTCTATGGAAGCACTTATTCTTTTGGGTCTGGCACATATGAAATCTCTTTGGGGGATGTGGCATGACCCATGGAATCTTGATAGGGTTTATTTGGATTCTCCTCATAACTCTCCTGCTTCCCTCTTCAGTGATATGCATTGGTGGTTGAACGAAGCCCCATATCATCAGGTTTACTGCTTCATCCCCCTTGTCCGGATTTGTTTCTATTCCTTGATGCGTATCTCCATAGTTGGGAGGCATGGGTCGATCAGCATGAGGCTTGAGGACAATGGTATATGGCCAAAAGGTCTTAACATGTTAAAATCCTGAAACTTCTGCCAGTCCAATGTGCTTTGGTTCACTTTCTTCTTCTTGTCAAGATTCGACTAATCATGATCCATTCCAACAATTTGACAGTGGTGGCTTATATCACTCAAGAAGGGGGCACCCATTTTTAGTTCCCTATGTAGTTCATCTTGGATCTCCCTTCTTGTCCCCACACACTTTTCAAACGTCTTCTGCCATATCGTTCTTGGTGCTTTCAACCTTGTTGCAGATAACTTTTCCAGTTCCGACCCACTTTATCCCATGGAGTGGTTTCTTGATCCTCAGAAATTTATGGTAGCTCTGCCTCCAGTGGGGTACTGCTCAAAGGGATGCATTTCCCTATTTTCTTGATAATAAATTACATCTCTTTTTTTTGTCTTT